ATCTCCGTATTCCATACAAAATAGCTAGTTTCTAAAGCTAAATATCGCAACAACCATAGTACTTGAGAGACTAAGTCTATACTATATAAATATTAAGTATATCTTTTATATAAAATATCTCTTTTAGAAGCTTAAAGTCAATACTCTTAATATAATCTAAAAATTATCTTAAAATACATATATTACCAAAAATACATATCTATTTAGGTAATTAAGATATATTAGAGATTATCTCTTGAATAGTATAGATTAGTATGATAATCAGAATCTATAGAACAAATTTTATAAGGTTTCATTAGGAAATGGTTGAGATGTAAAAAATGAATTTATATGGAATACAGGGGTGGACCACTCGCCTACATGGACCACTCGCTTACCGATTACGTTAGTGTGACTATGTCAGCAGCCGTAGCCAAGGGCAGCTAAGCCTAAAATAGGAGAGGTGCGATTCTTCCCGTCGGTTTCACATTCCCCCAATCTACCCCCACGCTCCCCCCTCCAGATCCATTCATTCCCATCCATATCTTTTCTATACTTCAAAACTATACACCATCTTTTGTGTATACATTTAGATCCACCAGCCACCAGGTTTATACATAGATGTCTACGACCCATCTTCGCCAGTCGAGTATTGACCTCGACTCAGTCGATCGACCGTTTGACAACATTATCAATTTCCGAGATGTTGGCCAAACCATCAACCATTTGCTTGGTAGACGGTAGGTACCATTGTCACGTTTTTCTATACCTGCCAGCGCATACTAAAAACTTTCGTACAGAGTAGTGAAGGAGGGCCTTCTGTTCCGGAGTGCCAGGGTATGGTACCCATGCTCTACTCTATCCCATACACTGAACCTAGTGGCATGTTGCTCGACCTCTAACATCTCATCTTCTTATTACTACATAGTTAGATGATGCCTCCGAGCGCGACAAGCGTCGTCTCATCGACGAGTACCATATCGCCACGATCATTGACCTTCGTTCCAGGTAGGTGCATTTCCCCCTGGCTGGATGATTTCACCATCCAAAGAGGACACGGTCATCAGAATTAACCCAGAAGCCAAGCACCGAACACCACATGGCCACAAGTAAACGTCTTTCGGAGTTGGGCGCTTCCCGATCTGGCAATAGCAATGGGTTAAGCGATGAGGGCAAACCCGTCACTGCAGCTGCATCTACCAGCTCTTCTCCTCCCAAGACTAGCACCGCCGCCGCCGCTCCCACCACGACTCCCAATAATTCAGACAACATTCACCTCATCGACCTACCACATACCCAACGCAGACTGATCAGTCTCACTGGTAAAGCTTTTGAACGGACCTTACTTTGGCGTCTTGATTGGTGGAATCTTCTGTAATTTCTCTTCCCCTCTTCCCCTCTTCGTTCTTGCTTAGTCGGGTATCATCTTTCTTGAGCTCCC